GCCTGTGCCTCTGACCTGATTCTGGGGTGGAGCAGCTTGTGAATCCTGAGGCGTTCAGTCTCCTTTCCTGCCGTTTACTGCACTCTCCCTCTGGTGTTTGCTTTCTGAAATTATCAACACCACCTCTGTCCACCAGCGGCTCACACTGACAGTGATATATCATTGTGGGAAAACAGCCATAGGACAGCATGCTAGTTATGAAAGATTGTTATGAAGACTGTAACACACCGGTGCTTCCTCAAGCCTGTGGGAGGAGCTGGCAGGGTAGTACGCTCCGGCTTTCTGCATCACCTCATACCCCAGTGGCTCCCAGGGCCACCTCCTGTTCCTACTTCTGCCCTTGCTCTCCACATTGTGGTCTCTCCTGACACCTGGTCTCCACTCCAGCCCTGTCTATTTTGGGTAATGAAGGTGGTCACCCTGTGGAACCAGCCTTTGTCTGTTAGTGGAACTTGAGGTCTGTTTTGTTGTTTACAAATGAGTAGAGGTCTTGTCCTCCTGCCCTGTCCACTCCTCACCTGGATACGTTTCCCAGAGAGTCATACTTGGGTTATGGATACCTAAGTAGGAGCTGGCATCCAGATTCTTCACCTCAGACTGGAGAGGACGGCGGCATAACCTTGGCCTGAGGAGGGTGTGACCACACATAACTTGGCACAGTGCCCTGTTTGTTGGCCTTATTCTTGTCTTCCATGAGACCTGCTCAGAAAGCAAAACTCAGTTTTGTTTTCAGCTACAATTGAGCTTTGCCACAGGGAAAGTTGATCCCACTGAGCAGCTGGCATCTGAAGGCTTCTGTGGAGTGAAGGTCTGAGAGGTGACAGACCCAGGTTTAAAGTGGCTTCCTCCTACCTGCAGGCAGCCTTCACAACTACTTACCCTCCAGCGCTTCAGGAAAAGTAGCTGAAGCCACCTTACAGGTGACCACATCGGGGAAACGAGCTGGTGTGCACCAAGCCTGGCACCCCAGAGTGTGATGTTGTCGTCTTTGTTGGCATCAGTTCCGCAGCATGATTTAACCCGTGGTTGCCCCTCTATCCCCACACTGAACCGGTCTTCCGGAACCTTCCTGCAGCTTTCCCATGTGTCTCTGAGGAGCTCCAGCTGGCCAAACCCAACGGGCACCGCTGGCTCGCCTGGAAGATGTGTCTAAAAATGTGTGACAGGCCTGGCCAGACTTAGGAAGACATGACACTGGGCCCTTATTGCTTATAAATATCTTCTGTATACATTTTGGCTTGTGACATTTAGCACAGGCTCAAGAAAAGGATCATTTGGTATAGGTCAGCTCATTTAATTCTTTTAAAATGTTATTACTTTTATTTACTTGTTTTATTTATTTATTTATTTTGGGGTGGGGAGCTTGTGCAAGTGCCATGTATGCCTGTGGGGGTCAGAGGACACCTTGTGGGACAGTTGCTTACTATCATGAGTCCAGGGACGTGAACTCAGGTTGCCTAGCCTAGTGGTAAATGTCTTTACCCTCAAAACCACCTTGCTAGTCCGCCTCATTCCATTCTTTGGTTGTCATTTTGTGTATGTGTGTATGTGACTTATTTTTTTATTTGAGCAGGGTTTCTCTGTGTAGCCCTGGCTGTCCTGGTTGGCCTCGAACTCACAGAGATCCTCCTGCCTCTACCTCCTGAGTGCTGGGATCAAAGGTGTGCACCACCACCGTGCTGTTTTCATTTCAGTTTTAATGTGTTCCTTCAAGGTGGCTACCATGGCTCCTGTTTTTTGTTTGGTGTGTGTTTAAACTTATCTATTTGATGTCTGTATACCACATGTGTGCCTGGTGCTCGAGGAGACCAGAAGAGAGCATCAGATCCCCTGGGACTAGAGTTGTCTCATAGTTGGTTAGGAGCCCCGTAGTGCTGGGAATCGAACACGGATCTTCTGGAAGAGCAGCCAGTGCTGCTAACTTTGAACCTCCTCTCCAGCCTGTTTTGATACAGCATCTTGCTCCAGACTGGTCTTGAACACTTGCCCTCCTGCCTGACCTCAGTGCTAGGAATGCAGGCCTGTACCGCCATCTCCCCCTTCTAACTGCTGCTTTAGAAAAGATGAAATACAGCTGGGCGGTGGTGGCGCACGCCTTTAATCCCAGCATTCAGGAGGCAGAAGCAGGGGATGGGATCTCTGTGAGTTCGAGGCCAGCCTGGTCTATAAGAGCTAGTTCCAGGACAGGCTCCAAAGCTACAGAGAAACACTGTCTCAAAAAACCAAAAAGAGAAAAAAATAAAAGAAAGAAAAAAGAGATAATGAACTAGCTCCAGGAAGGACTGGGATTGCTCACGGCCACAGCTAAGAAGAGGGAAGAGGTCAAGCCTGGACTCTTGCTGTTCTGTGCTCTCATTTGCCTCCAGAATCCTGCTGGTGACAACACAGTCTGATCTGAATAATACTGGCTGCCTCGACACTAAGAAAAATTACTAGGACTTAATTTCTTTAAGCTTCTATTTTTACTTTTAATTATGGGTATGTGTATCTGCATATGCGTGTGCACATGAGCGCAATGCCCAAGGAAGGCAGAAAGTACGTGATCACCTAGGGTTGGACCTATAAAGAGCTGGCAGCGACCCATGTGAGACTCTTGACCATGGAGCCACCTCTCCAGCCCTACAACTTTCTTTGGCTGAAAACCCAATGGTCTACCTGAAACTCAACAGTCTCCTTCCTGTCTGTTTGTTATTTAAACAGTGACTTTACTTACACCAAAATTGTGCTTCTGGTTGAGGAAAGAGCGACATTATAGGAGAGAGTAGTTAAAGCTGGCTTCTCTCTGGGCACATCCCTGTAGTCCCAGCCACTTTGAGGACTGAGGCAGGAGGATTCCTCGAACTTAAGTGTTTGAAACCATCCTGAGTAGCAAAGTAAGAACCTGTCTTCGAACAAGGAGGTTCATCTCTCCTGCCTTCCACCCTGGTAAGCTACTCCCAGCGTGAAAGCAAGCCAGCACAACTGGGAAAGCCCAGTTAGACATTCCCAGGCCCAGGCCACAGTGCACAGCCTCCCCAAGTCACACCACATACTTAGCGAAGGTGTGCCCGTCACAGCGACACCAGCCTACAAAACGATGACAAGTGTCGGAGTGACATTTAGGAACTCAGGGAGGAAATGAGGACAGGAATGGTCTTACACCACACAGGAAGCGTGTCACAAGTCTCGAGTTTTTTATTTTCAGAACAGAGTCTGGTTTTATTTTTAAAAAGAGGAAAAAAATGTGATAAATGCTAGCGAGGTGCCGCTTCTCTGTTTCTCCTGGGCTCGAATTCCCAGCTCTGCTCCCCATACACCCGGGCCCGGTTCCCAGCTTGTTGAACAGGAAGAGTCGTGATGGACAAAGCACTGCACACCTGTTTCCTAGGGAGGCTGAAGTAAGAGGCCCACCTGAGCCCCACGATTCTAGGGCAGCCTTGGGAACATAGTGAAACCCCACTCAAAGAAATTTTTAAAAGGTGGGTGCAAGTCTTTAGAGAGAGCACGGTCTTTAGATCAAGACTCTGTGTTAGAGATGCAGCCCAGGAGGCTCACTAGCATTTGCCAAGCATGCTTGAGGCCTTGGGTTTACTTACTCCTCAGCATTGCAAAGTAATTAACTCCTTTTTAAAAACAGACACCATTCGGAACACAGGTAATAAGCCCTCCCCTTCCATGCTCAACTGCTAGGAGCAGGCAGAGCTAAATTCTGAGCCCAGGCTTTCCATGATCCGTTCTTCTGGTCCAAGCCTCGGGGCAGTGTACTGTCCTGGTCATGACACCTTGGGGACATCTCAAGTCTGGTCCCTATCTACAGATACTCTAGAAAGCAAGAGAGAGGAAAAGGCCTTAAGGGTCATGTGTGAATGGGACAAGGGAATGAGTGAAAAGACCCAAAATAAATACATCAGAAGAAAGGAGCCGGCCCCCTGAGCACAAAGTACTCACAGAAGACATGTTGAAGAGGAGGCTGGAGAGCGCTGGGCCCTCACTAGGCCCTCACAGTCCTGGCCTCTGTCACCAGTGGCCATGTGCTCACGTCTCTTGATGTGCTAGGGAGATGGCAGCCTTCCATCCTAAATCCAGTGGCAGTCTCTCAGCAGCAGACAGCAGTCACACAGGAGAGGGACGGCTATCCAAACAGTAGAGAGAGGGTGGGTTGGGGGCCAGCCAGAGCCGGCCATGGCTCAGACATAATTTCTTTTCACAGTCATTGAAATCAGGTAGTGAGAAACACAGCGAAGCTAGAGACCAAATACAGAAGAGGGGGAGTAGCCGCAGCCCCAGCCAGGGCTTAGGCGCAGGACTGCGAGTCCAATCAGAAGAGGGGTCATCCGGGGTGAGGAGGAAAGGCAGGTGTGTTGTGCAAAGCAGCCAGTCAGCCAGCACTGGCTGAGGGCAAGAGACCAGGGGCGAAGAACTCATGGACTGTAAACACCCTCCACAGAGCCCCTCCGAGAGAGAGCTGGGGCTCTAGCCAAGTGCAGCCGCTCCTGTTCCCATCCACATAGATATCTTCAGCCCACAGCCCCAGGCAGTTGAGGAAGAGGAGCCCTTGGTTCTCAGAAAGTCTTAACAGAGCCACAGGGGACGAGGGACTTGGGCCAGGTGGCTGAGTTAGTGGTCAGTGACTTGGCACTTTGGGCCGACCCCTGTGATGTGGGCTTCAGAGGAGGTCAGCATCAATGGGCCCTGCAATGGCTGTCCCCCAACCTCGTCTGCCAACCTCCTTTCAGCTCCCCCAAGACCAGATGCAAGGCAGGAGGAGGGCTGTCCTCAAGTTCACCCTGGATAGCTCATGTCTCATGTCTGCCTCTAATGACAGAACTATGCCAAGAGCTTTCAAGTTCCAAACTCAAAGAATATCATCCTAGAAAGGTAACTGAAGCCGAGTGTGGTGGCGCACGCCTTTAATCCCAGCACTTGGGAGGCAGAGGCGGGTGGATCTCTGTAAGTTAGATCGAGGCCAGCCTGGTCTCCAAAGTGAGTTCCAGGACATCCAGGACTGTTACACAGAAAAACCCTGTCTTGAAAGACAAAAAAAGAAAGGGAGAAAGAGAGAGAGAGAGAGAGAGAGAAAGGAAAGAAGGAGGAAAGGTAACTGAAAAAAGCCTAGAAAGCAAAAAGAACATAGCATTCAAATCTAGCAAATAACAGGCAGAACAGATCACAGCCCCTTGTCTAGGTTCATTACACCACACAAAACTCCCAAAACAGAAGAGAGAAGGGGAACCAATATTCTTCAGGTTCCCCCACACACACCCAATCCCGCTGTGGGGGTGATTATATCCTGACCTTGCTCCCTAGGCTTCTGACCCTTGACTCCCCTCAGAATACTTATCCTGCATTAGAGATTCCAAGGGTAACATCCCTTGTCAAGACTAGAGTAGCCAACCCTGACTTTCCTTGAAAGACAGCCCTAAGGAGAGCCTCACCATGAGGACCCCGTGGGAGAAGGCTGGGCCAGGAGGGTCCCGCAGCAAGCCTTCTCCCTGATGAGACCTGAGCAGAGGAGAGAAGAAAGGTCGCCACCGTCTCCGCTCTATGCCGAGTTCTCCAAAAGAGCAGGTGGCATTCCGGAGGGTCCCTAGGAGGCCAGACCTCACACGCCTTTGCGCCCAGTAAAGCAGGCACTCTGAACCAGTTCCAACCCAGTCAGTACCAACAGAGGAAGGATAAGAATTCTGGTGCCAAAGGAGGAACCAAAAGAGAGCAAGCCAATGGCTAATACTCCACAGACCCTGTAATATCTGGTACAAACCCCAAAGGGATCCAGTGTCCATGCTGAATGCAACTTTCTGAGTGGTTTTTGTTTAGTTTTCGCGAGCAGTATCAGTGTGTGATGGGATGAAAGTCGAAAGCACAGAGGTAGAAATACGCACTCACCCGAGAAAGGGCACTGTGGGTCCTTACAGCAGAGACCCTCTCCTCCCCAAGCTGAGAACAGGGGAGCAGGAGTGAGGACGACCCTGGGTGAGCTTCTCCCTTGGAGCGTGGCAACCCAACAACTCCTGGGGATCCTGGTCATAAATTCAGGCAGGAAAGGATGGTGGTGGCATGTGTGGGGGCAGCAAGGCCTCCCTAGATCTCCTTCTCACTGCAAGGGGCATGGGACAGACACCCAGAAAAAAACACCACACACATACCACGCATGCACGCACACACCACACACACACACACACACACACACACACACACACACACACACACACACTTCATCTACCAAAGCTTACCATCCCTGCCTGAACACCCCCTTCTTCCACTCTCCCCCACAGAATGAAGGCAAGAAGAGCAGGTGGCACATTCATCCAGTCCCGTGTGCGTCAGGACAGGCAAGACTTTGGAGAAGGACCACGGTGAACATGGACCCTCCTTCCTCACAATATATTACTGGTCTCCCTCCAAGTAGTCTCCACCCATAGGGTGCAGAAGAATTCGCTGGCCGTCAGCCTTATCAACAGTGACCTCTTCAAAACACAGCCAAGGAGGCCCGAAACTCTCAAGCCAAGAACGGAGCCCCTGCCCTTCACCTTTTTCAATTCTGAGAGGCCACAGCTAGAGTGTTGACGTAGCCATGAGGACCCCCTTCATTTTCCAAGTGGCCCCGCTGGGACCCTCCCTGAGGTGGCGGTGGAGGCGGTGGTGGTGGGGCAGAGGGAGGAGCACCATAGCTGCTTCTGGCCCGACTTGGGGAAACCCAACTCCCTCGGTCCCAGCAGCCCTCCAAGGCCTCCAGGCCACGGCAGCCAAGGAAAAAGAGGTTTTTGAGCATGAAGATGGACAGTGGCTGTTGGTAGCTCACGACCAGGAGGCTGCGCAGCGCCAGCAAGGGCACGTCCACCAGGCAGCCCCCCAGCAAGCGCAAAAGGCGGCTGCAGCTTCCAGGCCCGGAGGCCTGGCCCCAGGACGGAGCTGCTGCGGTGGTGTTCAGCTCGTACAGCCAGAGCACTGGGGAGGCAAGCGTGAGGAAGTAGACGGCGATGAGCAGGTAGCGCAGGTGCGCGGGAAGCGGCACACGGCCGTCCAGCATCAGCTCCACCAGCGTAAAACTGTCCAGTAGGTCCAGACACGTGCCCAGAAAGCAGCCCGCCGCGCGATGCTGCTGTGGCTGCAGGAGCAGGGGACCCGCCGAGCCCGGGGGCGCGCCCGCCTCGCTGATGGCACGCACCAGGCTGTAGAGCAGCGGCACGGACAGCGCCATGGTGAGGCGAAAGCCGGTGGTGCCAAAGGGCGCTCGCAGCTCGATGAGGTCCAGGATAGACGTTCCCAGGATGAGCACAACCTTGGGAGTGAAGGCGATGGAGTAGATGAGCCAGGCCAGGTAAGCAAAGGCGAACTCGCCCGCCGCCCCGGCCGGCCCCGGCCCGGTCCCCGAGCCTCCTCGGCCCCCACG